TATATATATATATATATATATATATTTAAACGTACGTATCCAATATTGTACGAATAGAGAGCAGGGTTTAAACTCTTGTGTACGTTTTAAATGCTGAGCGGAGGCGTTGGAATTTAACCGAGAATTTACCATCACATCAGACAGTAACATACAGACTTACAATTGGCAGTATAGTAGCGTTGTACAATCACTAGTCGATTACAGATTAAACCCACGATAGCGGTATATACTTAATGAAAGCGAATTGTTACTTTGACCTTGATCAATAGTAGTTGTAACTCAATATATACCAGACTTTAATCATTTATTTTACTCTTTTTATCATTTTATTTTTTTTTTTATTTTATGTTATACTTATATTAGTTACTGAGACTGACCTCACTGTAATTATTATTATATTATTAAATTTTATATATTTATTATTACTATAATTATTGATACTATGAACAATTTTACAAAATTAAGACGTTTTGTATCAGAGTTTAGTTTTAAAAAATTTTATAAAGCTTTACGAAGGTTCATGATGTTTTTTAAAATTTTACAAATTTCTATAAAACTTTATGAATTTTACATTTCAACAGAAACAACGAGAGTAAAAATTTTGAGATTTTATGAAATTCCGTATATATCTAAATAAATTAAAATATTTTATGAAATATTACATTGCAAAAAAATGATGGATGATATTTATGAAAAATAACATTTTTTTTTATTCTATTGAATCATAACTTTGCTTTCAATCTTAACTTCAAAAAATTCACGGTCTTAAAAAATTTTAAACTTACGAATTTAATGTAACAGAAATAACGGGAAAAACTGTGTTAATGGAATTTTATAAAATAAAATTAATTAAATATTTTTCTAGAATATTATGCTGCACAAGGAATGATTATTGCATCAAATTTTGTAATAGACTGTAAAAAATTTGCGGGTTGAATGCATAGTAGAAGATTTTTATTTAATTTAATCCCTCCGGAGTGAAATTCACTCCGAGAAGGATATTAGATATATTAATAATATAAAACTCCGCGGAGTTAATTTTTTATTCTATTTTATTGAATAAAAATGAAGCAATAGTTACTATTCATTTAAAAATTACCAAATGCGTATTTAGAGATTTTAAACATCAATATTTTTTTTTTTTTAATTGGTACAAGTAGCATTTTTCGAGAAATTTTCTCTATAATAATTTATTTGTTAAGAAATCTTAAAAATTGCCGTATGTCAGTTAATTTTAACACCATCGAAGTAATTGAATTTATTTAATTAAACGTAAGTAATGTTATTATTTTATGATCTTTTACTTTTGATGTAAGGATTTATCAGCAGGATTTAAAAAAAAAATCTCCACGATAATTTTAGTCAATATTCCAAAACAGCCTAATTTCGAAAACGAAATTTGTTTCAATTGAATAAAAATTTATTACAGTCTAAAAACTCCGTATTCACATATTCTTCGGATTAATATCTATACCCTAGACAGAAATGAAAATTTACTCTGAATTATAATTTTTCAAATTGTATTTAAATCCTAACTCATAAAAAAAATTCCATAAAATTTTACAAAATTTATAGATAAACAAATTCCTATTCCTGATTTTAATTTTATGAGTTTTGATAAAAATCTAACATTTCAATAAAACTTCACAAAATCATTTTATACCGAGTGATTATTTGACACTTTTAATCTAAAGCTTCTCAACAATAATAAACAAGTATATATTTAGCAAAATAATTTATTTAAAGCATTAAAATCTATTTTCTGCAATAAATACTAAATTTAATTGCCAGTGAAGGTTTACTTAATAAACAAACCGGTAATGTAAATAATAACAAAAAATATCATCAGTTTATATTTAGGTCTAAGTATCTAAATAGACACACATAAATAACGAAAAAGAAAGAAAATGAAATAAAAATAAAAATAGTTACAAATATAAATAAAAGCTTAAGACGTGATTTATCTTGAATCCTCATCTTGAGTCATCCATCACACAACGATGGATTATTTCGCAAATCCTCGATGTACAACACATGACTGGCTAATTTCAATGCTCCGTAACATAAACTTTAAGTTACAGAAGATATCTTGCTCGGCTCGGTTAAACACTGAAAAAAAGTAGGCACATTTTCTCCCTATGCTACAATCCATCGGATCGAGCGACTTGCAGCTAAAACTTACAGCTAAGACTCTACTTCTTTTACAATAACAACAGCCGCGAGTTGCGCGATCAATTGATCTAGTTGCGCGATCACGATCGAACCTATTTCAGTACAATATTTATACATACATATTTGCTTTTTTTTTATACTATTATGGACTAATGGTATTTCGAAAGATACAATGCACAAGATGTTACGAGTAATGTTTTGTTGTAATATTGGACCGTTCGATTTAGAATCATCAGCTCAATGTAAGCCCATGCATATGCTATTTTATAATGCTATAATTATTTTCCAACCTAATGAGAGTGGTTCTCACAATAACAATAACAATGATCACAATTAATGCAGTGTTTGAAGAGACCAATTAAAAAATTATATCTTGAATGACAAAACTGAACAAATTACAGTTTTAGATAAAATTTTTTTTAGATTTTATATGATAAAAAGTAATTTTTACAGTTTTAAACTGAGCGAAGAACAACTTAAATAAAAATATAATTTTTTAGCCTAAAATTTTACCTTATTGACGATCATTGATGAACAAATAAAATATTCTTGAATAAAAAATTTTATGATTTAATTAAAAAATTTTTTCTTAATTGAATAATATTTTATTTTAGTTGAAATTAATTTTTTCTTCTCCATAAATTTCTCAAATTAAGAATCGGATTTTTTTTTCGTCAATAAATAGTCCCTTTAGTTAGATAGTTAAATGAAAAATTTATTTAGATGCTTTTCCGAGCAAATAAACAAAATAATGTTTGAAAATTGAAATTTAAAAGAAAAATTTTTTACTTATGCAAAAAAAAACTTGATTAATTATGAACTTTAAATTTTAAAATAAATATAACTTCAAAATGTATTTTCTTAAAAAAATGTAGAAGTAAAAAACAATAAGTCGAACTTTAAGTTTTTTTTAATCTCAAATGCGAGTTCTAGATTATATAAAAATTTTATGTAGTCATTTTCAATTTTTTTCAGCATTTTTCCGTGTTTATTTAAAATTTTACTTACATATCAATGTCTCAATTAGATGCTGATACATCATCTCGGCTGCCTAATTTCAAAACACAGTAACTAACATTTAAAAATTTTTTTCAATTTTTCTTAGTAAAAAAAAGTTTGCCCTCCAAATTAATGACAAATTTGATTTATGAATAGAAAATACTCAAATATAAATATTTTTAAGAAAAAATAATTGAAATTAAGGTTTAAAAGTTATAAAAAATGCAGCAATACTAAATAAAAATTTTGCAGTTACTGTGTTTTAAAATTGGGCAGCCGATCTATTCTTATCAAAAAATTTTCTCAGAAATTTCGTTACATTAGTTTTATATATCGACGGTCTAATTAGCAATTGGTATAACTCGTTATTTTGTAAAGGGTGATTTTTTAACATTTTAATGTAGCAATAATTATAAATTATTTGAATGATCTAAATCAAAATATTATATCTCTATTAGATGTTAAATTGTTTTTTAGAGTGATAATAAATTTTGAACTAATTGTTTTAATGTAAACATGGAAGAATCTCTAAAATGGAGTTAGACAATTTGCTAATTAGAACGTCGATATAAAACTAATTTTCCAAATTCAGTTCACTGTTTTTTTTTTTTAACATTTTCTAAGAAAATTAGAATGATTCTACGGCAAATTCATTGTAATGTAACAAGTATTTTAAAATCTGAATTTCATTTAAAATTCATGATCAATCCAAATTATTTTTGCACGGGACATTATTGTTGCAAAGAACAATTACTAGCAAAAAAGAAGTTCATACATTTTTTTTGCATGAAAATTGGAATAATTTTTTGACATAGTTATTTTTGTTTCAAAATATAAATGTAAGAATGAAATTCAAAGTGAGAGTAAATTTTTTTTTGCATGGGTAGGAAATATTAAATATTATTAAAACTAGATCACCATAATCCAAATACTTTGAATTTTATTACAATTGATTGATAACCATCATCTATTATCATTATCATAAAATTCTCGGCATGCCTAAGAGGAAAAATAAAAATTCTTTTCCCGGTGTACTTACCAAGTAGATACCAAGAGTGCAGAGGAGCATTTAAAATATTATTCAGCTATGCACGGGATAGGTGCGTTTAAGCATTATCAGTATGTAGTGCTGGTAGTGGTTAAGCTGTTGCTGTTGCTGTTGCTTTTGCTGTTGGTGATCTCTAATAAAGCAAAGACCATACATTAAATGTTAAACAGTAAGAGCAAGACGTGCGTCATCATTGTCGACGACACGTGAGTAGAGGCTCGATTGGCTGGTACTTGTACTGTTGTTATTATCGGTATTGTATGTTGTATGTACTGACCAGGTCTCGAGCAGTTTATACCAGCCAGCCGTTTAGTTGTTGACTATGCCAACCAAGTAGGTCACTCACTACTATATACACCATAGCCATCGACTCTGTTGCGTCGCCGCTTTCTCTTTGCGGTGTAAGCCTCATACTTGATGCCCGAGAATTAAATAAATAACAAAAAATTATAATAACAATAATAATGAAAGAAAGAAGAAAGAATCGAAGAATGAAGAAGTGTAAAGAAAAAAAATTGAAATTCTAGTTGTAATTGCATCAGACCATCAATTTATTTTATCATTATTATTATTACTCTTGGTGTGTATTTATCTTAAATGAATTTGTAATTTTTTTTGTCAAGTGTGGAAGCATGCTGCACGCGCAATTAGAAATTTGGAAGGCTGCTGTGGAGGAGTCACCGAGAAATACTCTAGCTGCTTCTTGGAGTCCTACTAGCGTTGTCCAGCCATCTCCAGTCAGCACAAGTGATCTCAATTCCTCGCTGAGCGCGCCTGATGCTTCATCTTCCTCGGCTTCTTCGTGTAATTTGGATTTAACTGATGGTAATTATAATTGCTAATCAAAATAATAATCATTATTTTATAATTAGTCGTTCAGTTGGTTGTTGTTGATGTTTGATTGATTGAGCAGGTAAAATTGAGATGTAATTTGTTATAAAAATGTTGAAATTAGTAAAATAGGAAAAATTGTTTGAATTACAGTTTTAGTTGTTGAAAACTTTTTTTTTATGATGAAATTTTGTGAATTAGCAATCAAATTTCTATAAAAAATGTCAGAGCAATATTTTGAAAATTCAAAATAATTTATTATTAAAATTCAGGATCCGACTGCAAAATTTAGTGTATCAATGAACGTGTTATTTCAAAATGTAAAAATATATGTGACCGCACTTTATTTACATATTTAAAATTGTAAGTGAAAATGTGTGTTAAATTAAGTAACACATTTGAAAAAATGATGCATAGTTTCAACAAACCGGTCGGCTGCCCAATTTTAAAACACAGTAACTGTAAAATTTTTATACCTGATTTTTTTTTTAGTATTGCTGCATTTCTTATAGTATTTTTTCTTAAAAATATTTATATTTAAGTATTTTCTATTCATGAATCAAATTTTTTATCAATTTGGCGCGTAAACTTTTTTTTAATGAGAAAAATTTAAAAAAATCTTAAAATTGTCAGTTACTGTGTTTTGAAATTGGGCAGCCGCAGTGCATAATTTTACACGTTTCATTCGTATATTTTTTTATGCACAAAAAAGGTTTTAAAATTAACTATTTCGTCAGAATGACATGTTTTTATATATGATGCATAATATTTTCTAAATATATTTAATGAGCTTTTTATTAAAATTGTTAATATATAATAAAATGAAAAACAAAATACAAAAAATTTTCACAAAAATATGATCAATATACGTATATTTTAAGAACATACTTATGTGATCAAAATATAGAATATTTATAAATGACTCAAGAGTTTATCAAGATTTTATCGATTTATTTTACTAAACATTAATTTTATTGAATATTTTTATTAAACAGTAAAGAGTTAGAAATGTTACAGTAAATTTGAAAAAATTTAATCAAATTCCAACATTTAAAATATCCAGTAAATTATAACGTTAAATTTTATTTAGAATTTTCTTCTCAAAAATTGCTTTTGCATAAGCGATTAAATTTTTATCAGTCCTTTAAAAATTTTTGAATTATCAAAAAAATGTAATAAAATTTAAAATAAAAATATTAAAATTCCAATTAATTACTTACATTTTTATTACTTTCTTTAAAAATTTAAAAAGCAAGTCATAAATTTTCAATATATGGTAATTAAAACTCATAAATTTATTTTTTCATTATTAAAACTGATTACTTCATTAAATTATGAACATTAAGCTTTAAACTTTTTGTACTGAAAATAAAATTCAAATGTCAAGTTATAAAAATTCAATCTTTTTTTGTTCAAATTACTTTGAACAATGTAAATTAATTGATTTAAAGCTATTATTTTAAGTGAAAGTTAAATAGCGATACTTAAAATATCTGAAGATTATTCATGATCTTATAATTGAAGCCTTGTACTATTTTTATCGAATTATTATTCATTAACTTTATAATTGATTTCCACAGCTCAAAATTTCTGAACTCATCAAACTGTCCTAAAATTTCATTAACTATTTTCAATCCTTAGAGAAAATAAAACTTAGAAATTTAAAACCATCAAGAGCAAAAAAACCGGTTTTCTATTTTTGTGGCAAATCACATTCCGGTTGTGGTCTCAATTAATCAAATTACTTAATATAATAAATTAATAATAAAAAAATCGTTCGATATTTTGTTTACAGACGAAGATGACGACGTGGCCGCAGTAACGCCAGTTAATGACGGAGGTAAAATACGTAACGGTGGATCCCACATCCATCTGTGGCAATTTCTAAAAGAATTACTTCAGAGTCCCGGGTTACATGGCTCGTGTATACGCTGGCTGGATCGCACGAAAGGAGTTTTCAAGATCGAGGACTCGGTGCGTGTTGCAAGGTTGTGGGGTAAACGTAAAAATAGACCGGCCATGAACTACGACAAGCTCAGCCGTAGTATCCGGCAGTACTATAAAAAAGGCATAATGAAGAAAACAGAACGCAGCCAGAGGTTAGTCTATCAGTTCTGTCATCCCTACAGCTTATAAATTTATTTTATACTATTTTTAATTTTAAATAAAAAGAAATGCTCCGTTTGCCCATATTTATGTTGAATATTGGCAATCGGCAATTCTTCAAGGGCTTCCGGTTCTTGCTGACAAAGAACCTCCAGAAAAAAATCGTGTGATTGTAAATTTTAAAATAAGAACCACTGTATCCATGATATGATTTTTATAAATATTTTACTAATTATAAATGATGAACATACAACATAACTAATGTTTGCGCCTTTCTGTCGTTATTATTTGTCACTAATATTACTAGTTTGTAACTTCATAAATCCTGTGGTTACGTAATATATTTATTTATTAAATAATAAACTAAAAACAATCGATTACAGGCCGGTTATTTTTTATTTTAATTTTATTATTATCTCTATCATCATTAGTTTTTTTTTATTATAATTATATTTATAAATATAATTGCATGTTACTTAATCATCCGCGGTGAATTTTGTTAAAAATTTGGCAAGTTTGTAAATAAATACAATTACTATTTTATTTATAAAAAAAGAAATTACATTTCTTTTATTTGTCTCAACTTTTAAACATTTTAACGTTATCTTAAGCAACTTATTCCACTTACTAAGTATCTTATCCGTTTGCTGAACCTTGCCAACTTAAAACTTATATTAATTGTTTGTGTACAGTGTACTAAAAATACTTAAGTAAATACTCAAGACAACGAACAATTGTCCTTACTCTTTGAATATACGTTTATAAAATTCGATATTAAAAAAATTTTTACGTATGTAAAATATTTAATTATGAGTGTAGCAATTTAAAAAACTGACAATTAAAAAAAATAATTTTATTAATAATTTATTGCAAAAATATTTTTAAACAAAAAAAATTTATTTGAGAATTTTAAGAAATTTTTTTGATTTTTTTTTACGATCCATTTAATTAAAAATTACAAAAACTTTTTACAAGTTAGTCTGATAATTTTACACTCATTTTCACGTGATTTTTATTAAAAAATAATTTTTTAGGAGTAATAAAAAACTTACATAATCTCAAATAACTCAGGTGAGTTATTTACAACATATAATAAAAAAGAATTAAAATTAATCGTACTTAAGTATAATTATTTATTATTAATAACAATAACTGTCGCTTTAACTAGCGTTACTCGGGATATTGGTACGTCCATTATAATTATAATTACAAGTAATAATCATAGTAATAATAATTGATAAAATAACAACCATAAAAAATAGGCTTAAAAATTGCAATTTAATTTATTTATGTGCTTGACGATTTAAAAGGAACTTATTTTAATTTTAATGAAATAATGGAGAATTTTGTCGCAATTATTGACATTTTAAAATAATTATCAGTTTGTACATACAGTTCGGGTTTATGTTTATATTTACTTTAAATAAACATTAATACGTATATTTAACGTGTTTAATAATTACCATGATAAAGATCTCATGCACTGTGAGAAAATTTACATACATATGCAGATACAGCACACATATACATGTGTACGGGTATATATGTATCATTTTACGTTGGCAATACGTGACCTGTTTTAAGCGCGTGATTCACGATGTACCAACGAAAAACAGGCTATATCCATGTTAAACCCAATGAAAATGTCGAATTCCGTGTATATACATATATGTATAATGTGTACATATGCCGTAGACTTATGCTGCAGATTTATGAGAATTTTCAAAGGTCGTAATCGTACTCTTTGTTTAATCATGTTAAATATATATGAATTTAAATTCTTCATATTTTTTTTTTTCTACATAAATATTGTAAGTAATTACCGATGACGATGATTAATTCACACCGTTTAATTTTAATACCAATTTCTCACAGTGCAAGATTATCAACAATTATTTATGCATTTTCATAATTTATTATTTTTTTTTCTTTATAAAATGAAAAAATAATATGTAGCTATATAATGTATTATAAAAATTGAAAATGCTCAAGTGAAAATTTTAAAATAATCGAGTGCCTGAATTTAAAAATTAACAATTACAATAATGTATAGTAATGATATTAATCTATTTATTTTTTGAAATATTTTTAATTAGAAAAACTTTGATGATTTTTTGTTGAAATAAAATTAAAAAAAAAAATTAAAAGTTAATCATTTTTATCAAAATTATTAATTTAAAAAATTTTAATTGCAACAAAAAATCATCGAATTGATAAGTTTTAAATACTCTGAGAGTTAAATTGAAGAGAAAAATTTTTAGACTAAAAATGCCAAATTGTAAAAAAATGAATGTATTAATTGACAATTTGTTTAGGTAATTATATTTAATTAGTTTTGTGAGTTAAGTAGTAAAAGCCATACGGTATCTTTGAGTCTAATCGGGAGTAAAGAATGGGAAGTGTTAAGTACTAAAGCTCTCTTAAGCAAAACGATGTGCGACTAAATCGACGCTTTTACATAATGGAATCGTAAACTGACCGGACTACAATATGTACTAGTATACTTACTGGGTATGCTTATACACTTATAAACATATAACTATATATGTGATGTTATGTTAACCCGTCGCATTAACCGCTTATATATTCCGTCTTTACTATCCGTAGTTGCACCACCGACGCGGTCTTAACGAGACTTATAACTTATAACGATCAAACCTTCTTAGTATAACCAAGATAAAATGAAACACCATTTTGAAGATAACTTTTTTTTTGTTTGCTTTAAATGTTTACTTCGAAGACGAATTATTAATTTTTTTTTCCTTTAAACTATGTTTTATTTTTATTTTTCATTATGCCTGTGAAGATGATGGAAAAATAAATTTACAAAACTCAAAGAAAATAAGTTTTACAAAATAGATATGATCAAATATTTAGAATAATTACAATTAATAAATTAATCTTTTAAATTTAAGGGCCAGTTTTTCAATCCGAGATAAAAGTAATGCCAATATAATAATAAAAATAAATAATTCAGCACAGTGATATTGCGTACGAGTAGTTTTCCCTGAATTCAGTCACTTATTTTTAATTAAAAAAAATAAACATTAGCCGCATGTCACAGAAATATTAATCTCCAACTGTGACAACTTGCTGATTGTAAATAAATAAAATAAAAATTAGGAAAACGGATGACCCTGCAATTTTTCGCTAATTCCCTATATAAGCGCTTGAAATTGCACTTGTAACGTTATCGAGCTCCAAATTACAATTTATGTGTTATTTTGAGCACTCCGAGCTCAAAGCGGTCACTGTTCTATGCTTTTGAGCTCTTCGAGCTCATATCTTGCGTTTGACATATCTATTATTAATCTATAATTGAGGAGCTGATTTTCAAAAGGGTATCTTTTCATATTTTAGAAGAGCAGTTTTTTGAACTTTTAAATATTAATTACCTTAAGAATTATAAATATTTCTAAATGAAAATCGGATTGTAGCTTCATAACCGATAGCACTTTATAGTTAAATTAAAAAAGTTCAATAAAAATGTTTATAATTGAAGATATCCAATTTTTTATGTCGATTAAACAAAAATGAAAAGATACCCTTTTGAAACTTAATTCCTCAATTGTGTTAATTAATTTAAAATAATTAAAATGACACAATGAGAGGTTATTATTATTTTTATGATATATTTATTTTTTATTTAAATAAATGACCAAATTCATGGAGAACTAACTGAGAGTAATATCACGTCGCTAATTTATTTTTTTTTTTATATTGACAGTACTTGTATCTCGGATAAAATTTTATCCCGGATTGAAAAACTGGCCCTAAAACATTTAAATATTTCAAGAAAATTGAAGTTTGCAACCGAAAAAAATGATTCCGATTTCTTATTGGTTAACTTTAGTAATCAGAGATTACTATTGGCGGTCCAACAACTTGAAGTTATCTACGTATTAACCAGTAAATTTCTAATTTTAACGAGAACTTATTGGTTTGTTCCGTAATTTTCCGGCAAAATACGTAAATTGCAATACGTTAATCTGAAATTAGAAAAAAAATTCACAAAACCAGGAATTAAATTAAAATAGAAATTTTTCATGATTTGAGTGTATAGATGTACTTAAATTTTGACCAATCTACTTCAATTATACAATTAAAACTCTATCATTAACATAGTAGTTGATTTTATTGCGACCAAAATATTCTTAGAAATTTAAATGACTCTTTTTTTTTTTTATCACAAAACTTAAAAAGAGCGTTCTATGAAAAATTACGAAAATTATATTTTGCAAATTAATAATAAACAATTTTATAATTTCTTGTAACGGTGTACTAACATTTTGTATAAATTAAAATTAATAATTTATTTATCAGAGTTACAAGAAACTAATAAAAATTTAATTAATTAATTAAATACTTAAATGTGATTTATTTATTAATTATTCCTTCGTAGTATTAATAAATCGGTGGTTAACATCTTAAGAGAGCTAATATTTTCAAAGGTACTACAAATTCGTGGTAATATGTCCATTAACGGTGTTATAGTGGTCATGTATCGTGCACACAAACTGACACAAATTACTTTAGTACATGTACGTACTTAAAACATAACTCGGAGTAAATTACGTATGGCTACTTGCTCAATATCAAGGTCACAATCAGCGAATACTTGCCTGTATCTATGTATTTATTATTATTAACTTTATGTACTTTAATTATTACTCAAAATTATATAATTATATTGACTCAAAAAATACTTATATAAACTAAAGTATTAATTTATTATAAAAATATAAAACTATTGTAAAACTTTGTTTATTAAATTTTTATAGTACTTTATTATGCTAAAAGAAAAAATAAAGTTTGACTTAACTGAAAGTGATATAAAATATTATTAATGATAATAATAATAATAATATTTATTTTTTCTTTTAGATAAAAATAATTTTTCCAAAGTAAGTTTATATATTATTAAATAATATTGTGTAAAGTCATGACAAATATTGAATATTATTCTATGAAATAACTTTATTGTAAATGTTATGAGATTAAAATTAATTGGTAAGAGTGTAAAATATATA